GATTGACGTGACTCACGTGCCATGTGTAGTACCTCGCAGTGAGCATGCAAGATTTGTTAGTAGAAAAGGTTATACATCCCAAAATATTGTGGCAGTATGTGATTAGGATACGTGCTTCACGTTTGCATTAGCTGAGTGAGAAGGTAGAGCACATGATGCTAAGATTTTTCATGAAGCACTGCATGATGCTTCTCTCAAATTTTCACATCCTCCCACAGGTTTGTATTATAACTAATAATTTTTACTTTGCATTTAACTTGTTCTAATTGGTTATATTTGTTTTTATATATCTCACTTTTATAAAACATTTATGGTTAAGTAAATATTGTTTGGTTGATGCTGGATATCCAACCCCCTTGGGTACTTAGGACCTTATAAATGTGAACAGTATTACCTTCCTGATTTTAGGCGAGCTACCAACTTTAATAACTACAATGAAATTTATAATTATTTCCATTCTAGTTTGTAGGGAACCATAGAAAGAACATTTGATGTGTGGAAGAATAGATTTGTGATACTGAATCGTTTGTCAAAATTTAAATATTCAACTCAAGTTCATATAGTTATTGTTACAATGAGAATACACAACTTTATTAGGCAAAATAGTCTCACTGATGTTGAATTTACAAGAATGGATGCTGAAGAGAATTTAATCAACACTAATGATGAGCATGACAATGACAATTGTGCAAGTCTACTTGAAAATATGTCATCATCTAGGTCGTCACCATATATGGATCAAATACGAGATTCAATTAGGGATGAGATTGTTGAAGCTTTTGTGAAGAATTAGTTATACTCTAGTATCCTTAACATGTGTAATTGATAAGTTGTAATTGCTTTTGTTACAAATTATGCAAGTGCTTGTTGCATTTGTTACACCCTATACTTGTAGTGCTTGAATCATATTTGAACCTTCTTTTAAATTCTGGATTATGTTATTTTGTAAACTTATTAAGACTCAGTTATCTGATTATTGAATCAACATGTAAATTTTAGATTCAGTTACTAAATATCTAGTTTTCGTTCAAACCAATTCATGTTTATTTTGTTTTGATCAATTTCAAGAATCAAAACTAAATGCAAGTAAAATATCAATCATTAATAAAAAATAAATAAAATAATTGACACAATCTGAACATAACAAATTATGTTAAAAATAATTTGTTCAAACCAATTCATACCTCTTTTGGTAATTTTCTACAAAAAGTCATCTTTTTTATATCATGCAAACATAACAGATTATGTTAAAAATCACTTTTCAGCAAACATACCCAAACAAAAATAGATTTTAGACATAATCGATTCTATACACAATCAATTCTTCAAATAATCTAATTTTTACAGTTATTCCAAACACGCTTTTAGTGAATTTAATAAAAAAGTAATTTTTGCTTAAGTGAAAAATTCGCTTAAGCCAAAATTGCGAAAAATTTCAAAACATCTTCCTCTTTAAACTACAGAAAATTTGAGGAATATTTGTTTTTCACCAATGACTACTTAGTTCTCAAAGACTCTTACATATTTTATCCCACCAAATACTTTAAATGTATTATCTACTATGCTACTTGTACTAAATATTAGTGAGGTAGAACCATTTGGAATCAAGTTAAATTGTTTAGAATGATGATAAGGATTATAGGAATGATAACTTTGAGAAATTGATTGAGAAATAGTTGTATTATTACATGTTTTGAAACACTTAAGTTTTTGTTGTATGACTATAAAGTGTCACCACATGATGTTGTACAAATGTTTCTCAACTTTTTTGTAATTTAAAGAAGATGAAATTTTGAAAATTTTCATAATTTTGACTTAAGTAGGCTTAAGCAAAATTCACTTTTTTACTGAATTCGCTTAAGCAATTTTTTTTCTTAAGTCAAAATTACTCTTTGCTAACTTTACTTAAGCAAATTTTGTTTTGCCTAAGCAAATTTAAACTACATGTTATAATTCTCTCAAAAACTACAAAGGATCCAGATCTATAAATGTACACCTTAAATTCAAAGTCCATGACTTGACCCGAAAATTTCAAAACTCATATGACAAAATATACAAATGTTTTCTCTCTTTATTGTGTAAAAATATTTATTTTGATAGTGTATTCACTGTAAATTTTAAACTCTCAAACAGTTGTCAACCTAGGAGCAAGTGCAACTATCGATTAATAAAAATAAACATTTTAAACTTTTTGAATATCAACTCTATAGAAACTATGTTTGCATATTCCTACCACTGTTATTTTTTAAATGTCAAGTGAATTCCAGAGTTAAAATATTAGAATAAAATTAAAGCAAAACAAAAACATAGAGAAAGTAAAAGATGGATAAAATACAGAGTTAATTCAGTATAAACCGAAATATGGAACTTCAATTTTTTTTCTTATGATCACTTCTATTTTTTAAATTCAATTCTATTTAATTGTGTTAGAATAATTACAAATTATTTCATCGATTATTACCACTATCTAATAATCATGCAATAATGATATTCTTCTTATTTACATGTCATCTTGATATGATCCTTTGATTAAAGTTAATCATCTAAAGATAAATTCAAGAATAACAATAATAATAAAGAAAAAATTATAATTAACAACTAACATCAATATCATACAATTAAATTATGATTCAAAAGAAGTTATATAATGAAAATTCATTTTAGTTCTACAATAATAAATGTTTAATTACACATAATTACGATGATAAAAGTAAAATAAACTAAATATAAAACACCAACAATTCTAAAGATACAGTGAAAGCTTAAGATATGAGTGTGGAGAGGAGGTAGAGAAAGCTGAAATCTTCCTCTTTTATAATCTTACTTTAAATAAAAAAATCTAAATTTTAAATTTTAAATTCATATCGAATTCAAATTTCATATCTAAATTCAAAGATTATATCTAACTTCAAAATTCATATTCAAAATTCACTCATTATTTACTCATTTAAGGAATAAAATAAAAAATTTAATTAAAAAATAAATTAAAATTTCATAAATAAAGTGACAAAATAAAAATTATTAGTATTAAAATTAAATTATTTTTAGATTTAATTAAAAAATCTAATAATATAAATATTTTTTAAACTGTTAAATAATCATAAAGGTGATTTCATGAAAAAAAAATATTAACTTTTATAATGCCTACTCTAAAAGTCATGTTTAAGATATTATCGAATTCGTTGACAGTATTTTTTTTTATTTTATTTTTTTCGGTTTTACAAATAGTGTATTGAAAATCAGAAAATAAATAATAAACGTTATTGGGTTGGATTAATTTTAACTGAGAATTGAATCACTTTGGTTTGAAGTTATTGGACCTGCATAACCTAACCTACACTCTCAGTTTCAAGTGGGGAAAATGTGTTTTAATTATATAATTGGAAAGTAAAAAAAATATTATTATTTTATTTATCACCCATTTATTTTTATCCTTTTTCCTTCTTCATACAATTCACTATTAGGCATTTGAATAGAAGCTTTCGTGAATAACTGTTTCCTAGTTATGGTTTGGGTTCATTCATTAGAGTGGTCCACTTTCAAAAGGCTGGTCCAACTCTAAGCAAGCATTTCACACACAGCCGAACGAATATTCAAGTTGAGAAAACTCTCTTAAGCTAACATTCGTTATGGACCTAAAAAAGGTTAACATCTGTTAGTTTTTCTTTCTAGTGTTTCCTAACTGCAAATCTTGAAAAACATTACATTAGCTTTTGACATTTTAAATTTGGGTAATACTATGCATACAACACAAAAAGTTAAGACATCACTAGACAGTCATGATATATAGCCTAATTATCTTTAGCACTTCCTTTCTAAATATAAATATTCAGAAACCATAATGTTTTGCTCTTACAATGTATCGCCCATGACACACTTGGTGTAAAGTCCACAAGGTTTTGTCTATATTTCGGCAACGCGTTTAGAGGCATGAGAGAGTGCAAAGAATAAAAAGTCGTAGTGAAGGAAAAAAAAAAAAACTCTAAATAACAAGCAAGAAGGAAGGCTTTGACTAATGTAAGGTGTCAATGAATTCAACAATGCCCCAAAGTGGAAGCAAATACAATCATTTGCAATCTTAAGACTGTCACAATCCAACCGTTCTCTTGAAAATGACTTTACCCCTTAATTGATCTTATTTTCGTAGTAACGTTTGGAACAAGTCAAGACCAAAAGCCTGGTTGAAAAACACAATACTACTTGAACATGGGCACCGAACTTTGGTTAGTTTTTATATGCTAATGATTAAGTGGGTGACACCTACCAAAACGCACGGTCCTCCATCACCGGTTGCTGTGTTTACCATCAAATACTTTTAGATAGCTATATTATAGCACAACTCTTTGATCCAAATAGTGCTCTAGGCCTTCAATGAACAAACAATAAATGAAATAATTCATTTAAAATGAGAGTTGAAGAAACATTGGTTTCTTGTGCCTTCCTCGCCACATTAAAAGCTCCCCATATAAGCCTCTTTGATCCACATATTCACATGCTTCCCATTCATTTGTCCTCTCACATTGGTTGCATACAGGCGGGTATAATAATGCGAGCAAACATCTTTCAAGTTTTAACTTTATCACTCAAGCAAGAAGTTTGTTTATCCCTTCACACTTGGCTTCAATCTTCACTAAGATTTTGGAACTTGCACATGTTATTTTATAACTTTAGAGGCAAATATTGAGTAAAAAGAAGCATAGACTGAGAGGATAATGTTGGTTCATTTTGTTGTCTAATTTGAAAAATCCCGGGCAACAAGCATGCAAAGAATTGGCGTGTTGTTTGTACGTTCTCAATTGACAATCAGGAAGCTGCTATATTAAAACAGACAAACTAGCTAAGAGACAAAGCAATGCAGACGAGAAACTTCATCTATCACTATTTCTTTGCATATAACGCTGGGTAGAGAGAACAAGATTGCCACTGAAGTATTGACGTCTACCCCCATGTGATCACACGCGATTCACGTATTTATACTCCATATAATATTTTTAGGACACAAATTGGCATAATAACTATCACTAGTAATTAATTACATTCTTCTATGTCATATAATATAATGTAATGTATACCTTTACTTCTTCAATACTGAATTGCCATAGCCAAAGGCCTAAAGGCAATGCCAGAGTATTCTCAAGAAAATCTACAATAAAGTTTTCACGGTATCACTAAATTCACTACTGGTTACAATCTCAAAAAAATTGCTGTGCTACTCTTGTCATGGGCAAGGCAAAAGAAATAAAACTGAAAACAAATGGATCTGAGGAAATCAAATTAGCAAAACTAGGAAGACAATTATGTAAAATATACAGTTAAAAGGTGAAAAAAAAAAAAGGAGAAAGAATTACATTCAAGAGTGCCAGATTCCACTCAACATACTGCGGAACCGGTTTGTGGATAGCTTCCTCACAAGCCTCTTGGCATCAGAAGAGACTTCAGCTTCTGCAAGTCTCTCTATGTTTTTGGCATACCCAGAACTCACAATCTTTTTCCTCCCACTGTTGCAACTTGTTAAGGACATTAGGATAGAGACTAACAACCTTTTATTACCTGAATTTCCCTCCTCCGGATCTAGCAATTGCAGAAGAAGAGTAATGTTTTGATCATCTTGCACAAATCTCTTTCTATTTTTTGGTACCATAACCATACCAGAGAGTGCCTCAGCTGCCATTTCGCGAACTTCAAATGATTTTGCATTTAGAAACTTAACAAGCTCTGCCATGAAGCCAGCATCTCCCAAAGCTTTCTTAGCCTCCTCTGATGTTCCACCAAATCTAAATGCCACTTTCAGTGCCAGCTCTTGAATTGAAACCTCCCCATTTCGCACATAATAGAGCAGCTGATCCACAAAGCCATAACTCATCAAAATACTAACATAACTAGCCGAAGAAAAACACAAATTTTCAATAGCTCTCATCACCACCTCCCTTGTTTTAGAAGAACAAGTGCATCTAGGATCCAAAACACGCATCAGAACACGAACCCCACCTTCTCTAATCACCACCTCCCTAACCAATTCATCACCGGAGGCAATGTTTTGGATGAATTCAATGGCACTCACCTGAATTGCTTCATCCTTGGACCTCACAAGTCTCACAAACAAGGAAACCACACCCTCCTCAACCATAAACCTCTTGATTTCTTCAACACCACTAAGATTCCTCAACACCCCACAAGCAGGATCAATCAACTCCCCTTTAGAATCCACACTATCACAAATCTTCAACAAGGCAGTGACACCCCCATGAGCCGAAACACACCAAGCATTATCCGAATTCTGAGTTAACCTACGCAAACAATTAGCAGCACCAACCTTCCCCAGCTCACTCCCACACTCCAAAACCCGAATCAAGGGTGCAATAATCCCAGCAGCAATCAACACCCCTCTATAATAATCAAACCCCACAACCACAGAAACAACATTAGCAGTCTCTTCCTGAATCTCAACCTCAGAGGAACCAAGAAATTCCACCAAGACATGAACAAAGTCAGAAACTTCAAAAACCAACTTAACATATTTGTCATCTTCCACAACAACCTCGTGCAAATTAACCAAGGCTTGTTTCTTCATACCCAAATCACCAACCTTCATCCTAGTGAGCAAGTCCCTTAGGTAGAACCTCATGTCCTCTTTGCAAGCACCAAGACAAGGCCTTGAAACAATCACAGCGTGGCTATGCATCAAAAAACCTTTCTTGTATATCTCAGATACCTTCTTCACGTGCTCTTCCAATTTCCCCAACGTCACGTCCAAATCGCTCTGCATCAAAAGCTTTCCGCTGTAGGACAGATCCACGCACAGCCGTGCCAGCTCGTGGCACTCTTCCACGGTGCCCATTATCGCCGGGAGCACGCCGGAGAGCGACGGGGACTCACCGGCGATGAGCCCCGAATGGAGCTCCTCGAGCTTGGTTCGAATCAGTTGCCATTTTCCGGCGAAGACTCTGGTCGAGTAGGAAAGGGAGATCAAGGAAGAGACGAGCTCGACGGCTCGCCGGAGACCCGAGCCGGGGGTGGGGGACAGTTGTTCGTCACCCATTTTGGTTCTCAGAGCAAACCCATTTCCCTTTCGAGGCGGGTATCTCTGAATAGCGATATTGGAGTTTAGAGTAAGAAAATACAGAGAGAGAATGCAATGTGCTTCAGACTGCAGATCTATACTTATCCTTTAGATTTCAGTTGATGCAGTCATACAGAGTTGGACTCTTTTGCTTCATTGACCAGAATACCCTTTTGGATTTCTTTCGTTAAAGGTCCCACCAATTAATGTCTTAAGAATATTAATTAAGATTTAATAACTAAATATTTTATTAAAAATTACATTGAAAATGCACTAAAAATGTATATTTTTTACACTTTGTAAATGCTTTGTCCTCTGCTTAGTTGGGGGATGGGTGGGTCATGGGTGCTTCTGTCATTATCTGTGAATAGGGCAACTCAATGTGTTGGGTGTTTTGTTTGAGTGTTTGGAGATAAGGAACTACGGAGACAAAGCATGGCCCAGATAGAAAGAGAGGGTTCGGGGCAAGGTGATGTCTTTATGCTTCATGAGAGAGGGAATTTCGTATTGGTGATTCAACAAAGGTGAATTTGTCTATACTGGTTTCCCTGTAAATACATACAAAATTGTAATGTAAATTATGAATCAACAAAAAGACAAAGGAGGTTTACATAAGCATCTAACCAGCAAGGCATGCACAGCAAAATGCACTTTTTACAATTATTTTTGGTGATACTTGTCCAAGTTATTGGTTAACGGTTATAAAGAGCAGAAGTAATCAGTTGACTGCTACTTTTTCTGTAAGAAATCCCATAGTCATAGCTCGCAGTTACTCTCGTTACACTGAGCGGGTAGCGATTTAACCTTTTTTTTTTCTTTTTTTTTCTTCAATCCGGTTAAGCTTTATCATAAAATTTAGCAAACTGGAATCTTGGGATAGGAAGAGAGAATAATAGTATCTTTTGGATATGAAGACGTTATAAAATTAGATCAAAAAATTGATTTTTGAAGCTCTTATTTATTGATGAACAAGAAGTTTTTTATGGTATTTTTTGGCACATAATCCCTTTTCAGCTCAATAAATACATTGTCAAAATTCAAATTAATAAACTCTCGCTGGTATCCAACGAACTCTCGCTAAGAGGATTTTTGTTTGGACCCAAATGACTAAGGGCATGTTAAAATTCACGTATAATAGTCATGAATTCACGTTTAATTCAATGTATTAAATGCAGTTTTTATGTTGGATCCAAGTTTAAAATTTTGTTAACGCATTTCCAAACACAAGTTAAGAAAATCTTGGATGTATTTGTCGTTTAACAAACTTGTTTTGAGTTTATGACTCCGTTCATTTTTCTATAACAACGGAAATGCGGCTTCTCAAAGAAACAGATATCAAATAAAAAGAAATTATGGATCTTCTTTTAGAAGCACGAAGGTTATTAAGGAAAGGATTTACTATCTTTCTATTAACTCAAGAGTTTATTATATACGTTGGAGATTATGATTGAAGTCAAACAGAAACATTTACTTTTTAGAAGTGTTGTATTTATTCAATTTAAAATATTGATCACTGAATCATCTATACATGGTAAGTATAAACTTAATTTACCAAGCTTGCAACTTTTTCCAGTGCATTATTTCTGAAATATCATGACATATATCATCTCCATCATAAATGTTGCTTCTAGTGAATTGTTTACATAAATTTGTTGACAAAATATGAAAATAATATTGATGTATCCCTTGGTTTTAATGCTAGCAACTGGCCAACAACAAATCAATTCGATGGAGGCCACTAGAATAAACGATGATGCCCTGAGCTGAAAATGCTACTAGAGCACCCATTTGAGATTTAGGTGAGAGCAATGTAAGAAAAACAGCAGCACAGCTGTGGATTAATATGGACAAAGTAGATGAAGAGTGCAGATGGACCACACCGTAATAAGGACAGAGCTTTGATTGGGAAAACAAAAGCAAAAGAGCAGCTTTCAATGGCCTTGGAATGTGAATCACACACACACACACACACACCCCACCATGTGAATCACTTTGTATTCGTCTTCAGCCAGCAGTGACCTTCCGAATTGAAAGTGGAAGTGACTCTCATAACTAAAACAAGAAAAAAGCTACTCTCTTTTCCTACCCTTTTTTATGGTTGCAAACGGATAACAAAGAAGACTCCAACCAAAGCCAAAAGGTAATCACTACCATACAAATACCCCCCACCCCACTAATGAACATTTTTCAATCAAACCTCAGCCGCTTGATCAGCTTCAAACCCTCAATCAAATCAAATGATGCACATATCTTAAAAAGTGTGCATGTTTTCAAGAGGCAAAGGGTGTTCACGAGAGAGAGCGTGAGAAGAAGGTCCAAATGGTATTAGCCAGTGGCCACAGGCTCAAAGCAAAAAGGTAAAGCTGCCCCATGTCATGACAATCCCCAAAAAAGCATGAAGATGTTGACCAACCATCCCCACTAACTAGATCAACTTTTTGCAGAATTTATGATGTTCAGTTAAGGAAAAATAGAGAGGTAATGAAAAATTGGTGCGTGAAAAATTGGATACTTGCACCAAGCAAATATTAAAATGAATTACTCAAAATTCGATTTTGGGTCAAACTTTCAACAAACAATGTTAAAGGACAATTTTATATGATGTGCAATTGCATATAGGATACTTAGGATAGGAACAAGGATTTTATTCTAATCAGACTTGTTATGTAACCTAATTATTAAATCTAAATATGATTTGTTATTAATTAAAGACTCTATATTTAATTTGATTTGACTTATTTAAGTAGTCTGTTTTTATTCTATTAACAAAGTTTATTATAATTTTCTTTTAATATTAATAAAAATATAAATATTTTATTATTAAATTAGTTTATATATTTTTTTAATTTTTATCTGTATTATTAATAATTATTAAATAATTATAATAATTTTTAAAATATTATTTGAGTATTAATTATAAATATTTCATATTGAAAAAAATTATATTTTTATTTTTCTTGATTTATTTTTAAAAATTATAAAAGTATTAAAAATTTTAATTTTTTTAGAATTATATTTTATTTGTTTAAAGACATCTTATATTCAACAAATAAAGTCATAATAAACATATAAAATTGATCACAAAAAATAACATTCACACAATTTGTTAAATCAGCTAAAAAAATTATGTTTTAAAAAATAAATAAATTTAAAATCAATGCAATATATATATATAATGATAATAATAATAATACCTATTAAATTAAAAAAATAAAATAATTACAAAATATTTAATTTAATTTGTTTTATTAATTTATTATTTTAAATTAACAAATACACATAAAATTAACTACACTATAACATTAACGTAATATAGAAAAATATTACTGATATAATAAATTAAAATATATACTTATATATTACGTATAAATTGATAAATTAACTAATATTTTAATTTTTTATTTATGTAAATATTTGTAAATTATTGAATTTCAAATGTACATTAATAATTATTTTTTAATAAAAAAATCTATCAATATCTATGTCAAAATTTGTTAAAAATAATTATTTAAAATTCTATGTATCTATATTTTTTAACTTTTATCTTAATAAAAAATGTGTGATAAAATTTAATATAAAAATTTAAAATCAATGCACTATATATATAAATATATATATATATATATATATATATATATTGACAATAATAATAATTATTAAATTAAAAAAATAATTATAAAATATTTAATTTTATTTGTTTCATTAATTTTTTATTTTAAATTAACAAATATATATAAAATTAACTACATTATAATATTAATATAATATAAAAAATATTATCGATACAATACATTAAAACATATATTTATATATTATATGAATTGATAAATTAATTAATAATATAATTTTTTATTTATACTTTTTTTGTTTATGTAAATATTTATCAATTATTAAATTTTAAATGTATATTAACAACTATATATCACCAATAAAAATAAAACACTTAGTTAGTTATAAAAAGTATATATTATTATATAATTTATTTAAAATTATATTATTTATTATATGGTCCATATATATATATATATTGTATATTAAATTTTTATTTTTTATTTTTTATTTTTTATAAAATTTTAGTTTCAAATAAAATATAATTTATATTTAAATAATTTTTATTTATTATAAAAAAATTAAACATAATATATTAATATAATAATTAAATAATTAAATATTAATAATAATAAAATTAAGAATATAAAAAATATATTATAATATTATTATTTTATTTTTAAATTTTATTTTGTTTAGTTTTAATTGTATCTTGTTCATATTCAAAGATTTAATCATTCTTTAACTTGTTTAAATATAACAAATATAATAATTTATTATTAAATAAATTTATTATTTTATATATATATATAGACCGACCTATTAGACTTAACAGACTTTATAAACAGCTCAGATCTAACTTATTTACTTAAACAGACTTAAAAAAATGTTTAAACCTTATTTATTTATTAAAAAAGTCAGGTCAAACCGAAATTTAATAACTTGTTAATCCCTATCTTTATTACTTATCTGATTTTCATATTAATTATCGTTTTTTTATTTATCGACTTAATTTTAATAATAAATGAGAATGAAGGAAATAAAATTTTAACTCCTCCACCAAACTAATCATTTCTGAAAAGAATCTTATCTTTCTTTTCTTTTATTTTCTTTCGCATTATTTATCTTTTTTTATTTTTTTAATTCACGATTGGAATAAAAAATTTTAAAATCTAAATGATAAATCTGAAAATTCTATAGAATTCTAAAAGATGAAAAAATCCTTTTTTTTATCGATATAATTTAGACCATAAGATTAGTGAGTCTAAATCACTACAATAACAACTCAGCATGTTTATTGTAAAAAGGTGAGTACTTTGTGTTCGTAGGGTCATGCTGGTTCAGGGGGGGGTGGAAATCAACTCTTTGGGAAATACAGCTTATCAGCACATGCCTTAATTCTGGCTTGCATATATGTCACCCTATATCGTGGAAGAAAAGTGGGACCTTTGCTCTAATTTCATATTTTCATTCATCTATTTTACTCCTTGGCTTAACTTACTTTAT